ATGTAGGTAGGTATGTAGGTATGTATGTAGTATGTAGGTATGTATGTAGGTATGTATGTACGCATGTATTCATGTATGCATGCATGGATGGATGTATGTATGTATGTATGTATGTGTGTGCGTGTCTGTATGTATGTATGCATGCATGTATGTATGTATGTATGTATGTCTGTATGCATGTATGTATATACATTCGTATGCATATGCGTGAACGTGTATGTGTAGGTATGTGTGTGTGTGTGTGTCTGTATATATATATATATGTGTGTATGTATGTATGTATGTATGTATGTATGTATGTATGCGTGCATGTATGCATGCATGCATGCATGCATGTATGTGTATATATATATAGCAGTACAATGCCAACGATAATGGAAGCTGTTAGTTCAAGACCAGGCCGCACACGAAACTGTTTGCGATGATCTGGCCCATTCATTGAAGTCCGGAGTGTTTTCTGCAATGACAGCGATTTCTAAGCCGCTGCTTGTCTAGCTATCCAGTTTCCAAACTTTTGCTTCGGCGATGAGATGCTGCAAACAAGCTGCAGCTTCAGCATGTTGACCTCGAATTGTAGATCAATCCGTTTCAGCGTCAGTCGTCGGGGACCGGACAGGGGTACATCAAAGGCGTACCTGCTTTCCTTGCTCAAATTGCTTCACGGCATTTGGCTGACGACCACGTCATCTCCGAATCTCGAAAGCCTGTGCTGGGAGCTTGTCAGCATCGGTGGCTGACAAAGCAAACACATCCGCAGGCTCTCGAGTTCCGCCTGGCCTTCGACGGCGAGCTGCCGGGCAGCGAAGGGGGTGTTGTTGTTCTGCCAAAGATGCTTGGCGCAAGCAGTCTGAAGGCAATGTATGATAAAAACAATTAGTGGGCTCCATCTTGGCATGACGAGTAGCTTCGAAGGCTGGCTGCAGAAGAGCTTGTCGGACTTGATCATTCCTCGCACTGTACTCCACAAACAGTATCAAGCAGTACGGTAAAGAGAGTGGAAGAGGTGTCCTGGTAGGTGCAGTCATTCTGTACATGCGCCGTGCTACAGAACGGATCTTGAAGTGCAAGCCCGCGCGGCTGTTATTACATAGCTAGCGTGTCAAGTTCAGCAAGATGTCTCGTGCATAGCCGAGGACGGCAGAGAACGAAAAGTTCGTGAACGACATGGCCGAATTCAAGGAGTCCTCTACAAAGGACGTGGCCATGTTTACGCGGTGCTCGAGCCACTTGAAAGAGCTCGAACAAGCGTACTTAGACGAGCTCGGCCGCCGCAAGCCCCAAAAGAAGGTGAGGTCCATCAGTTCTGACTCTGCCTCACGCTCCAAGTCGCGCCCAAAGAAGAAGAAGAAAAAGGAGAAGGAGGCGAAGGAAGATCGAAAGAAGGCTAAGAAAGCAAAGGAGAGCCGTGCACAGAGCCCCAGGCCTGAGCACCGACCCGAACATGAGCCTGGCAATGGCGAGGCAGCGCCGGTTTCACCAGGACAGGCATGGAAGCCTGAATCGAAGGAAGCAAAAACCGATCACCCTTGGAACGAGGCTCCAGCTCCAGGGCCTTGGACTCCAAGCGGAATGCCGCCCCCTGGACCTCCTCCAGCATATCCCCAAGCCCAAGCTCCCTGGCAGCCACCCCAAGGAGCAGCTCCGGGTCCTCCTCCAGCATATGCCTACAGCCACCCACCGCCTCGCCCCGGGCCCCACGCTCACACTCCTCACGCACCGCCCCATGCCCCACCCCATCATCCGCCACCACCCGGCTATCCGTCTTATCCACCGCCGCCTGGGTACTTCCCACCCAGGCATGAGGCATGGCCTCCACCGCACCTGGCTTACCCAAAGCCAGCTCCTGCGCCGCCTCCTCACTACGGTGCTCCACCGGGCATGCCACCGCAGCCCATGGCGCCCAGCAATGATTCTGATTACCGCCACTGGGCGAAGTCCGCGGCACCCGTGCCAGAGGCTCCGGCACCGTACCCTCCTCCCAACTTCACTGCGCCCGCACCAGCTCCAGCGCATGCCGCCCCACCTGCATATGGTTATGCACCCCCTGCAGCCGGAGGTCCTCCAACAAACTGGTGTGGCAGCCCAGCTTCAGAGAGTCTTGGATCCGGCAGAAAGCGGCTTTTGCATGCAACATGAGAGCATGAGAGACTGCTTGCCCAATGCTTGCATCGCCTTTCTTGTTCGGGCTCCGCTTGGACCAGCTCCGTCGAAGTTGTAGACCGCTGCAGAAGCAAGCTACTACCAGCTAGCCCAACAGTTCTACGTGCTGCATGCTAGCAACGCAAGTGCAGACTGGATGGAAGCATGCTCTCTCTCTCTCTCTGTGTATGTATACATATATATACATATGAGAGAGACACCTCTAGGGTATATTTAACGCCTTGCTTACTCCAGATATTTCAATATTTCAATTATTTTGATTATTTTGGATAGCGCGAGAAC